GAAACATCACATCCTCATCGGAGAAATCATACATCACAGACTGATAATTATCAACTGGTTGGTGAGCAAGATAATCTGCTAACACGTTGCTTTTAATAGCTTTTTGAGTGCGGTATTCGATTTCATATTCAGATAACAACATCTGCCAGCGGGAAATTCTCCCAGTAAGAGCAGGATTTTCAAAAATGTACTTGATTGGATCCATTTTGGAGATCAACCAAGTAGTGTGATTCAACATATACTACCGCAAACGTTTTGCCGCCCAGGCCAGAGCACAACATGTCTTTTCCAGCATGGAATACCGTGTTCACAATCAGTAAACCTTTTACTGAGATAATAAATGGTATACTCTTTATACCCTGTTTCATCTTGTTGTCCCATAATATAGCCCATGGAATCATCTAACACTGTCAGATACATAATCAACGGTCCTCCTTCAACAGGAGGGAGCAATATAGGAGGTTCAAGCAGATATTCTTTAATACTTACAAATTCCCTTTAGCAGTCATCTATCCACACACAACCTTGATCTTTATTTAAAAACTTAAAGATCGGTTCACATGTTGCAGTCATGTGGGAAATGAATCTGGAAATATAATTCAAACGCCCGAGGAACCCTCTAACTTTCTTTTCAGCTCTTGGCGCAGGCATTTCTTGAATTTTTTGACTTTATCAGGGTCAACTTTAATCCCTCTTTGGCTAATAATTAAACCCAACAATTTCCATGACCGAACACCGAAGGTACATTTATTCGGATTCAAGCAGAGACGATACTTCCTCAAATACTGAGACAACTTCAACAAATCTTCTACATGCCCTTCTTCAGTATGGGATTTAGCAATCATATCATCATCATATACCTCAATTTCCTTGTGCATCAGATCATGGAATAAGGTTGTCATAGCCCTCTGGTACGTTGTACCAGCGTTCTTCAACCCGAAGGGCATCACTCTGTAATAAAATTTTCCCCAGGGTGTGATAAACGTTATTTTTTCCATGTCCTCAGGAGCCATCCTTATTTGGTTATACCCGAAAAATCCGTCCATGAATGAGAAAACTTTGAATTTTATTATGCTATCCACTAACATATCAATGTGTGGCAATGGAAAATCATCTTTTGGACTAGCTTTATTTAGATCTCTGTAATCTACACACATGCGAACTTTTCTGTCTTTCTTCGTGTAGCAGTAGAAATGTTTAAGACTAAGCCATTGGATTGACTAGACTTATACAGATCAAAATAAAAATCTCCACCGCGCTTTATTGTTTCCAAAGGAATGGGAAAAGAGCGAATAACCCAAAAAGAGGGGGAAAGATTCAAGGTAAGGGGGTTGGTTATGCAAAGGGAAGGTATTAGCACCCTAAACATCTACGATACTCCGTAGGAACCTCTTTGAAAAAATCTGTATATTGGCTATGGAAAAATGTTGTATAAATATGGATGGTAGAGGTGAGAAAAGAAACATATTTTTTATGATTTTTGCACCCGCCGCGATTGCAAACCTTTAATGCCTACGTACCATATTTCGTGCAATAGGGGATCAGGGTACACGTAGTTCCTCTTTGAAAATTTAAAACACAAGTGTGTTGGTTAATTTTATGAGATAAGACATCATCGCCATTGTCCGTGTGGAAAACATACTTACTACCCACAATCATGAGAATGAAGAGTTTGCATCATCTCAAAGTGGAGGATATGACTTAGATTTTAAAATCAACAATGCCTCACTCAACACCCAAGTGGAAAATATCTCTCTTCACTACATATTGTAGAAGTATAGTTGTTTGCATCACTACAAGGATTGACAAGAGTCTAATCTTTTGAGATTTTTTTTTAAAGTAAAAAGCCAAAGTGGCAAACTGGTTTGAAATGAGATTGATTGACTTTTAGTCTTCTCACAAAAATGTCAAGGTATTATTAAGTTGATTGAAATTTATTCATGAAAGCGTTTTGAAAATTCATGGACCTAAGTCCAAGTTTATTATGAAAATGGTTCAAGTTTCAAAACAAGAAGAGTTTTCAAAAGGAGGGAGAAGATTTTTGAAATTAAAGAAGATAAGAGGAGATGAAGAGACTATCCTAAAGCATAAGGTAAAAGCTAGGGATAAGAACCATCTAAACAACAAGAAGCCAATACTTGACATTATGAGTCAATATATAATTCCCATTCTTCAGATTGAAACCAAGCAAGCAAAGATACTAGACCTCTTGAGAGAACCAAACTTCAAGTGTATTAAGTCTTCGCAAAAATTGGACAGAGTAACGGCTGTATACGGGTGAATTCCAGATTACAAATAAAGTATGTAATCATAATAACCTGCACACAAAACAAACAAAGAACTCAATGTCTTGAGGTAAACCTCAAGAACTCCAGACAAAATATGAATTAAGGTCACAAGGTCTCCAACATAGGCCAGGGTCTCTAATCCTAAGTCCAAGAAGTCCAATACTCCATAACGCCAAGGATAGTAAACAAATAGTCCAAATATCATTAAAGTTATTTATGGTTTTTGTTGATTATTAGGTATCTTCAAAAGGAAAAGAAAAGCTCAAGTGAACAAAATAAAAATGACATAAAACTAAATGCTCAAGTGAGCAAAAATAAAAATGGCATAAAAATAAATGCTCAAGTGAGCAAAATAAAAATGGAATGAAATGTAAATGCTTAAAGTAAATAGCACATAAAGTAAAGAGCATAAAATAAAAGCATAAAATAAAGTCAATTGTTAGAAATTAGTGGTTAGTTGGATGACCATCTTGAAACTTGCATTTGGAACTCATTAGAGGATTGGTAGAACCAAACCTCCACACAACAAGTTGAATTTGCTTTTTGTCAAGTATATCATCCATTTTGGAATCCTCAAAAGGTAACATTTAATGATCAACGATGTTTACCAAAAAGCAATCAAGGGGAGTGTATTGGCGGATCATTTGGCGCATCAGGCCGTGGATGACTACCAGTCCATGAATTTCGAGTTCCCGGATGAGAATATCATGTTGGTAACCGACTGCAAAGAACCTGGACCGGATGAAGGACCCGAGGAAGGATCCCGATGGTCTATGTATTTTGATGGAGCCTCGAACGCATTGGGTAATGGCATTGGTGTTGTAATTATATCTCCTGAGGGCTGTCATACTCCGTTCACCGCCCGATTATGTTTTAACTGCACCAACAATATGGCGGAATATGAAGCATGTATCATGGGTCTTCGAGCTGCTATTGACCTGAGGATTAAGTCCTTGAGTGTATTCGGAGATTTCACTCTGGTGATAAGTCAGATCAAAGGCGAGTGGGATACGAAACACCCGAATCTTATTCCTTACAAAGAATATGTACTGACATTGCTCCCACACTTTAAGGAGGTAACCTTTGAACATTTCCCTAGAGAAGAGAACTAGTTAGAGGACGCGCTAGCTACCATGTCTTCTATGTTCAAAGTAAGGTGGGACAATGAAGCTCCCCAGATTACCATTGAGAGGTTGGATGAACCCTCACATTGCTGTGACATTGAGACTGAAGAGGTAGCAGATAAACCCTGGTTTCACGAGGTAAAGAGGTATCTTGAGGCTCAGGAATACCCCGAGGGGGCATCTGTTAATGATAAGAAGTTTCAGAGAAGATTCGCTGCGAAGTTCTTCATCAGTAATAGTATCCTCTATAAGCTTAGCCATGATTCAACCTTACTGCGGTGTGTGGACAAGAGCGAGGCAGAAAGGATCACGACAGAGTTACATGAAGGCACTTTCGGAACCCATTCTAGTGGACATACCATGGCGAAGAAAATCCTGCGGGCAGGATACTGCTGGTCCACTATGGAAGCCGACTGTTATCAGCATTCTCGAACCTGTCATAAGTGCCAAGTCTACGCTGATAAGGTGCATGTACCTCCGGATCCCCTGAATGTTTTGACAGCTCCTTGGCCCTTTGTGATGTGGGGCATCGACAAGATTGGCGAGATCAGACCTATTGCATCTAATGGGCATCATTTCATTCTGGTAGCAATTGATTACTTTACAAAGTGGGTTGAGGCAGCTTCCTTTGCTACGGTAACCAAGAACGTCGTGGTGCGATTTATCCGACACAGCCTGATCTGTCGATATGGTGTACCAGAGAGGATTATCACTGACAATGGTACAAATCTCAATAATATGATGATCACCGAGCTCTGCAAACAGTTCAAGACACAACATCATAACTCTTCTCCCTACCGGCCGAAGATTAATGGAGTCGTTGAAGCAGCTAACAAGAACATCAAGAAGATTGTGCAGAAGATGACAGTGACATACAAAGACTGGCACGAGATGTTACTGTTTGCTCTTCATGGGTACCGTACCTCAGCACGGACGTTGATTGGGGTAACACCCTACTCTCTGGTATATGGTATGGAGGCAGTCCTACCCATCAAAGTCCAGATACCCTCTCTTAGGATTATGAAGGATGCAGGTTTGAACGAAGACGACTGATCCAAACCCGACTTGATCAACTGAATCTAATCGATGAAAATAAACTTACTGCTATCTGTCACGGTCAGACGTATCAAAAGCGAATGATCAAGGATTTTAACAAGAAATTTAGACGTCAAGAATATCAAGTCGGGGATCTAGTGATCAAACGCATCATACTACTGCAAGGTGATCCCAGGGGCAAATGGACCCCCATATACGAAGGGCCATTTGTGGTTAAGAACATTTTCTCGGGAGGAGCTATGATTCTTACCACCATGGATAGTGACGACCTTCCTCACCCTGTCAATGCAGACATAGTGAAAAGATACTACGCCTAATTAAAGATCCGCTAGGTTGACTGGCCTAGGCAAAAATTAGGGCTTCCCGGCAAACCAAAAGGGTTCGGGCAAAAGTAAGGGATGAAAATGAAAAAAACTGTACACCCGGCACATCAAAAACCTGAAAAGGCGACTTGGGAAAAAAAGGGTATCCGGGTGGACTGAAAACCCGAAAGGACGGTCCAGGATAAAATTAGGGATCGAAGTGTAACACTATGTCTCATTGGATGATCTTGCAACCAGACTTCGGTATCAACTATCAAGCTCGGACAACACTAATCAATCTGATCCATCTTCGACCAAGTAGCAAAGTGATGAGACGCTTGAAGATATAAAGGCAATAGAAGGGTTGAAACTCGATGGGATTGTTTCACATAGCTGTTTTTATTTCTTTTACACAAATTTTAATTTCTATCTTTCGGCGACGTTCTCTTACTAGAGCATTAGCCTCTTTGTACAAAATTCCTATTACAGGCCAACTTCAAAAATCAATACAATTCATTTTTACAAGAAATTTCAAATTGTTTTTCTTTTTCTGTTTTGTTTTGCAAGAACGTCCAATGATTTATTTTTTATATATGCATTTGGAAATAATTGCTGCTCATAAAATATTTACATAAAAAACAAAATACAATTGCTCGTAATTCCAGGAACAGGGACAAACAAGAAGCGTCCAAACCTTACAGTTACCCTGCCCACCAGGTATAGGGATAAAGCCAGCTGGGGAACACGAGAAGTGATACATACACCCTGTGATACGGTGGGAGAACTGACTTGGGTTTTGCGTTTGTATTCGCACTTGTTCGGTTTAGCAAGAGTCGCCACCGACTTTTTATTTTATCCTAAGGAAAGGTTAAAAAGCACAGGAAAAACCTTTTGAGATGTTTCGTGGGTTCGGGGGGTAGATTATGAAAAGGGAAGGTATTAGCACCCTTTTCATCCATGGTTATCCATGGGCTCTTAGTTACTTGCTTAGATCACTTGCCTTTGATTTTCAATTGTTTGAAATGGTGCTTTGTGTGTGGGTTTGAAAATGTTTTGAAAAGAGGCCATTTGTTGTGGCAACCTTTGTAATGATCCATGTTTGAATGTATACAAAGGTGTACTTGTCTTTTGAAAAGTTTTCAATGTTTTTGAAAGTTGTTTTTGAAAGTGTGTTGTGATGTGTGTTTTGAAAAGTAGGCAAGTGTGTTTTGCAAGTTTGTCAAGTAACTAAGAGTTGTCTACCCCTAAATTTACTCAAAGATTCTTCCTATGTTCTAACCCTTTTAACAATTTTGTTCCACCATTGTATTTGGTGGACAATCTTGTGTTAGGATGTTAACGGGACGGGCGCGGGTCATCGTTTAGACCATGATTGCAATAGTGCCAAGTGTCTTTGGCAACCTTTCCTTTAATGGACTTGATCATTTTTAGGCAACTTTCGAAAGCGTCATTGAGGGATTATGATCATTTGAATTGTTTTGTTTTGCCAAAGACACCCAACATGCAACATGGCCCATTTTGGAAGGCCACAAGCGGGATTAGCCTAGTGGTGCAAGGGTGATTGTGTATTGATTGTCATGCATTTATCTTTGTGTTTAGGTTATCTAGCGTTTGATTTTATTTACATACAAACCCTAGGTCTAAACATGGTATATTTGAAAGCGATAAATTGCGGGAATTTAAAGTCTACGCTATTACAAATGGGTATCCGGGAGTGGGGGTACAAACATTTACAAATGGGGATGAGACTTATTAGGAGAGTAGTATCCAAATATTTACAACCAAATCGAATCAATCGCAATCTCAAATGTAAAGTAATAGCAATTTATGGGAATAAAGCAATGTAAATGTACCAATGTATTTGTGTAAGTGTATGATTATTTACAAGGTGAAAAATGTTTAACTTAATGTAAGATTAAGTATTTATTATCTTTTGTATTCTCGTATTTTCTTTGTATTTTTGTTAAATATGTACCAAACAAAAGACTTTAATAAAAGGAAGGTATTTAACTTAAATAAAATTATGTATTGATGTTTTTAGATACAAAAATTTTAATTAAAGAAAAAAGAAATGTTTTAAGAAAAATTAAAGTTTTATGTATGAAAAAGATTTATCAAAAGTTTTAAGACCAAATCTATTAACCTAATATAATATTTATATATTTTACAAATGTAATAAAATAAAAGAGAAATTTGTATAAAAGAATTAAGGTACTATTTTATATACAAAAATGAATTAAGTTATGTTAGTTTAAACTATAAAAAGGAGAAATAAAATGATAAGTGAAAAAAAAGTATTAGTTTGAATAATATAGGAAATAAATAGAAAACAGTTTAAGAACTAAATGGGCTAAAGGGGGTTTTGGGCCCAAACAAAGCTTGAAGTGGTAATCAGAAAGGGGGTGCGTTCCAGATTTGAGGGGTATGCGCGCTGGCTTTTGTATGGGCCTTAGGCTTCTGAACAGGGCAAGGCCCATGCGCTTGGGACAACAATTTTGTTTAGGGTTTAATTGTTTTGTTCATTTGGGAATGGATTAGGGTTACAGTTACAGCGCGACGCCGTTCGTCCTCTTCGCTTCTTTCGTCTTCTTCCTTCTCACGCCCTAGCCACTGAACGCTCCTCCTCACCCACGATCATCAGACGCTACCTCCCACCTCCTTCTCTCCATGGCCATGCAAGGTGGTTACGAAAAGGTTTGATCCCTGTTTTAGGTTTTTTTGAGTTTTACATGTTTATGATTTTATTTTGACAATCTCTGACCTTTATATGTTGTTGTTCATGTGAGGTGTATAAAAGGGGGAAAGAATTTCTACCTTTCTTGAGATGGAGGAACGGACTGGGGGCGTCGAGGATGGCTAAGGGCGAGGACGACAGTGATGCTAGCTTGCTGGAAAAACTAGTACCTGTGTCTTTGCCTTTTTAGGTTTAGTGATGATATCTGAAAACCTTTTGACAGTTGCCTCTCTTCTTCTCTATTTGCCTCGTTTCTGTATGCTTGTATGCTTTGAGTTTCCCTGTATGTTGATAACCCTATGATGAGAACAATCTGAGGGTGCTGTTGGCTCGAACGTTTCACTGCTTTTCCTCTCTTTCTGTTTCTGTATACTTGCTTGATGCCTTTGATTTCTTGCCTATGATGAATCTGATTCTGAGGCTTTGGTTGTTTGAATGCTCCAAGGCTTGTATGCTTTTGGACACAGGTTTCTGGTGTATGGCTGGATGTTTGGTTTGTATGGCCTTTTGGCTTGATGCAGATTTAGGTTTCAGGTTTGTGGGCATTTGTTTGGAAAACTGGTTTATGTTTGGGGCCTGATAGGCTTGAACCGGTTTAGGCTTATGCTGTTAGAGGCAGGTTAAGGCTTGAGCAGTTTGATGGCTTCTGGTTTGAATATTGTTTGGATAGCCTGTTTGGGTTTGAAGCAGGTTTATGTTACAGTAGGCTTTGAATGATTACAGGCTTGTGTTGTTAGTTTGTGTTACAAGTTGATGCAGGGCTTGAAAGGCTTATGCATGTTGCAGGTTATGGTGTTTTGGTTAAGGGCAGTAACAGGTTTAAGCTTCAAGGTTTGGCTTTGTTATGCTTCTTGTTTGGAGGCTGGACATGTTATGTGTTTTTCTTTGTGTTGGAGGCAGAACTGTGTTTCAAATGTTACGGTTTATAGCTTTTCTCTTTTTTGTGATATCTCTGCCCTCCCTACTGTTCTATTACAGTTTTGTTTTTATATTCCTCAAGCCTAAAGCCTGTAAGCCCTTTCTTTTTCTCTTTTTTCTCTCTCTCTACATTTAAAAAAAATCATTTTTATTGCTTTAGAAATGCACCTTTCTTAAAAAGCATACTGGCTGGAAAATGATGAATATTTTGATGTTGCTTGCATTAGTTGCTTAGCTCTACATATCTCTTATCTCTTTTTTCCAGATTTTCTGCTTCTTTGTACTTCTTGAAAGCTTTTGAGTAGCCTTTTGGACAGTTTCATTCAATTTGCAATTAGTTCAATTTGGACTTTGTGCATTGGTTTTGAACTTTTGAACTGTGCAATTTGTTCTTTCTTGCATATGCAATAGCTGTTCAGTTTGCCTCTTTGATTGGAAATTAGGCAGCCTGTTTGACCATTTTGAATTTGTGCAATTTGTATACTTGTGCATTTCATACTTTAATTGCAAGCAAACTTCCATCCCTCTTTGTGAACCGAGAGAAATCTCGTGATTTGCAGAGAGGGCAAACTGATTCCGGCCAGTCGCTTTTAATGATGAATTTTGAATTAACTGTCTGCTCTTAATTGTTTTATCTGCATTTGATTTCTTTTCTTTTCTTTTTGCAGGTAAAGATAATTGAGCAAAGGAGCATTGGATAAAAGATGAAGATTTCAAGATATTTAGGACATAACTTTATTTCAATTTTAATTATTTGTAATAATATTAATGTAAATAACTGTAAATAAATTTAACAGTATTTAAATAATATCTGTAACAAACAATTCAAAGTGAATAAACATCCTTTTTATCAGTTAATTCCTCTTTCAATTTACTGTCCATTTAATTATTTGAATTTCTTAAATTAAAATAACTGGAAGTATCCAATTATTCTGACTTAGAAAAATAATTAATAAACACTGTGGTCTTGCCATTTAGCATGAATCAATAATAAACCTGGCGCTCCAATTAAACAATGCACAGTTAATCAAACCAACATCCAGATACTTATCTTTTTACTGATTAAATCAAACACTGCAGATTCTCAATTTAAGTACCTCAGCTTTTATCTCATCTCAAATCAAATGCCTTAGCCTTTACTGATTAAACAAAATACTGCAAGTTCTTGATTCAAATGCCTTAATCCAAATCTGAAAAGAACTGTAGGATTAATTCTTTCTGCGCGTACAAACCCTAGTTCTTGATTAAATGTCAGAGAAGCGTCCGCCTGATCAAAACCTGAGCCAAAATCAACCAAAAACCCTAGCAATCTGCTTGAACTGTTCCAGAGCCATGAAAACCCTAATTTTGTATAGATTGATAATAAAAAGTCCGTTTGATTGATTCTTATGCCAATTTAAAAAATCAGGAAAAGCCCGAAGCTGTGATTTCTTGTGGAAAAATACGAGGGAAAATTTTGGGGTACAACACACCCCCTCAGAGTAAAAGGTATCTGAAGACAAGGATGTTAGCTTCCTCGAACAGAACATAACTTTCCCTTACTGAAGTTCGCAATTGCGAGTGAGTCAGCAAAATTTTCCCCAAGCAGAGTTTGTTTATCACCAGCAACAAAAATTCATCCTCAGCTGAGTTATTTCTCCAAGGCAGCAGATCTATCAACAGAGTATCTCCTCTCCAACAGAGTTATTCCCCGCAGAGTTATCCTCAAACAGAGTTTCGTCCGACAGAATATTTACCAGCCAATGGGCAAATCCCCAGTAGTCATCTTTGTTCACCATCCCCAGCAGAAGTAGAGGAACTATGGTTTTTTATAGCAATCAGGGATTTATTTTCCCAGATTCAGATTGTTATGTCAAGCATTTCGTGTTCATACATCATGACATATGCATACATCACATATAACATAGTCTAATTTATTTTGAGAACGTCAGCATACAATACATCTCATGCATCACATATAACCAACCCTGTATTTCTTTCAGGAAAGACAGTTATTATCAACAGTTTCCAGCAAGTCCATGATCAACACTCAAAGTTAAACAGAGTATTCATCGGCAACAAATGCAACCTCATCCAAGTTCCTTCTCACAGCCCTACTATCCAGACTTTCATATCGAAGTAACTCTACTATCCAGGTTCCTTCTCACAGCCCTACTATCCAGGCTTTTCATATCGAAGTAACCATACTATCCAGGTTCCTTCTCACAACCCTTCTATCCAGGCTTTCATATCGAAGTAACCCTACTATCTAGGTTCCTTCTCACAACCCTACTATCCAGGCTTTCATATCGAAGTAACCCTACTATCCAGGTTCCTTCTCACAGCCCTACTAACCATGATTTTCATATCGAAGTAACCCTACTATCCAGGTTCCTTCTCACAGCCCTACTACCCAGGATTTCATACCGAAGTAACCCTACTATCCAGGTTCCTTCTCCTAACCTTACTATCCAGGTTCGGCCTCCCTTATCCCCAGAAAATAGTCCACAACACTGTAAGACCAGGACCCAATCAAACACAATTGATTTCATATTTCCCCAGTAAGTCATAGTGCAGTATATACCCCGAATAAACACACACAGTTCACTTCTGTTTCCCAAACCAGAATTATTCCCCAGTATAATAATGGACAATTGAAGCTCCTAAAAACTCTACTTCTCCCAAGACAGAGACCAACATTCCCCAGCGAAGTCCTCCTCAATAACAGGTATATGAGTTCTCGCAAAGGAATCTCTTGTGCGATCGACAATTCCTCGGATGGCATCTTTAAGCCCATCTCTGATAATTTTCTAGCAACTACCAAATGGAATCTATAAGCCCATTCCCGATATCACAAATCAAGCATCACTTTAGGCGAGTGCAAATTTCTGGGCACTCTAGTGTTCAGTCATCTTTCACTTTCAGATCACGAAAGGCAGACATGCCAATCTACATCCTCAAGTTTAAGAAGATTGAACAGGGGCAGCTGTTGTACCCCAAAATTTTCCCTCCCATATTTCTCAATACATGTTAAGTGAGGTCCTCAAATTGCTCAAGGAAGTCCAAGGGTTGATCAGACAAACTCTCTCCTAAGGCAGTCTACCTCAAATTAGGGTTTCATTTTGCATCAAGATGTTTGATTCCAAAGGATCCCAAATGGTCACCATTTTCCCAATATGTTCTCAAGATCATCCATGTCAAGTTTCAAGCCTTGTAGAAGAAGTTTGCTCAGCCAATTGCTCAAAGGCCTGAAAATTGATTGTGCTAGGTCAAAAGTCAACTGTGACCCACATAAAGTCAAACTTCAAGATTTTTGGTCAACATTATCATTTTGAAGTATTATCCATCATTTGATAAAGGATTGATCATGATTCCTCAAGGATTGCTCATAATTCATCAAAACCCCAAAGTTGCTAAATTAGGGTTTTATAGGAAAAGTCAACCCAACTTTGACCAAGCATAACTTCCTCATACTTTATTAGAAATGACCCATCCAAAGCTCATTTTGAAGATAATGCAATTACATACAATTCATCTTCATCTCCCAAGTTCAAAATATGCACTCACAAAAAGATATGAATTTTGACATTATAGGTCATTTTGGAAAGTCAACAAAAACACCTTTTGGGTCAAAGCTTCATACATGAACCTGGAAGACTCAATTGAGATGAGACCAAAAGGGTTGCTTATAGGACATCCTAAGATTTATAAAGAGTCCAAGAACACCTCTATAGGGTCAAAATTGAGAGAGTTATGCATTGGCCAATTTGACCATTTTTGCAAAATTGCCAAAAGTCAAATGTGCTAAAATTTGCATTTGTTGCTAAATGGGCCTAACTTTTTATGCTTTCACCTCACTTATAACATGGTCCACGACCCAAATGCTCACTCACATGTTATTTTCTTCATTACTTATTTTATTTTGATTTTTTATTTATTAAAATTGAATTAAATCAAATAATTGGTAAATAATAGCAAAGATTTGTTTTGATTGGATTTTTGGACAGAATCATAAGCTCATTATCTGGCATATCAGAATCAGATCATGTCAAGGCTGATTGGTACGAAATTGGCATGATTAGGCAAAATTTAGAAGGATATCATACAAATTGAAAATCAAATCAAATCTCATCAAAGCCTCGCGATTCAACCCAAATTCGTTAACCTAATTCACTCTAGGTTATATAATGAAGGATTCTAGATCAAAAAGAAAAGGGTTTAGAGACGTGAAACAGTCAGAAGAAGAACTGAAACTTTGGACAAAAGTGAGAGATCGAAATCCATCTTAGAGCAATCTTTAAGGGGTTTCAAAGCCATAAATCAATTCCTTGGCATCTCAGGAAGCATTCCCAGTCATTTGTAGGCGTCAGAACATCCAGAATCACTCCCTATCACTCTCACGGTTTGCACAATTATCTAAATTTGATTACTGTAATTCTTGCATCTCCACCATGTTTAAGTTACATATTCGTGTTCAGAATCATGTTTGCAATGTTTCTGGATAGTTTGATTTAATTTACAATGCATGAATAAGCTTTTGCCATTGTTAGGGTTTTGTGCTCCAATTTGGGGTTTTGAGTTTCAACCAAAATTAGGCCTGATAATGGGTACCATGATGATCAAAGTTTCAAACCCAGTTGATCCATGGTCCCCAATTGAATTTATATTGCGTGTGCTTGATTTTTGAATGACACAGGTTTCAGCAACAGACATGCGTCTGTAGGTAAAGGTTCAGAGCCTAAAACGACAGTTCTAGGGAAGAACGCAACAGCGTGTCACAACTTGTCTGGCTGGTTTAAATTCTGGCGCGTTATTCCGGCCACTAACTTATTGTCCAATATATTATTTGTTCTTTATTATATTAACAAGTTCACATCCAGCGCAGTTGGTCAGAGGAAGGAAATCAGAAACTCATGTCCTGGGTTCGATCCCAGGCGTGAGCTTTTGGCATTTTCTCCATTATTTTCACCAGATCCAGCGTACTACACCTTCTGAGGGTTATCATCTTCTGATCCATTAGCCAGAATCAGAT